ACTTGGAGGTGGTGGTGTAGCAGCAATTCGCTGCTGTGCCCCCGCAGCAATTAAATGAAAAGAATTGCTGCCGCGTCTATAATCACTCAAACCCCCGACAGCAGCAGCAGCAGCAGCAGCAGCAGCAGCAGGAGCAGCAGCACTACTACACCCTCTATATAAGAAGTAGCTGTTACATCGGCGCAGCAGCTTTTCTTTCTTTGCTCTCCACAACTGCAGCAGCTCTTCCCGAGACATGCTTAATTCTAAATGCTGCTGCAGCAAAGGCGACCCCCAAACCCTCTTCATTGCTGAGCATAACGATGTATAATCAGGCTCTGCTGCTGCAGAGACAGGTGGAAGCCCTCTCTCCCAGATGTCTCCTTCTTCTTCTTCTCGTTCTTCTTGTTGCTGTTGTTGCTGCTGTTGCTGCTGTTGCTGTTGCTGTTGCTGTTGCTGTTGCTGTTGCTGTTGGTGGTGGTCTTCTTCTTCTTCTTTTTCTTGTTGCTGCTGCTGCAGCTGCTGTTGCTGCTGCTGCTGCTGCTGCGGTTGCTGCTTCTGCTTTTCTTTCTTTGCTTCGTTATCTGTGTGTGCTGCTGCTTGATTTGTTTTTGCTGCTTCTTTCTCTCTTCCTGATACTTCTTTTTTCTCATTATCTTCTTCTTCATCCTTTTTAACTTCTTTTTTAACTTCTTTTTTATCTTCTTTCTGTTTTTCTTCTTCTCTTTCTTCTTCAGAAGGCCGTGGGGTAGCTATGAAGGGAGAGATGCTACTAAAAGACGAATAAGAAGAAGAAGCAGAAGAAGATGATGATGATGATGATGATGAATAAAGAGAAGGAGAAGAAAGTAGAGACGGAGACGTGAGTTGTTGTTCACCAGGTTGCATTTCTGTCTCTCTTACTGTTGAAGAGCTTCCTATACACTCCAAAGAAGAAGAAGATAAATCTTCAGAACCATCAGCAACACCGCCTCCTCTTTCAGGTGTATATGCAGCTACATCATTGGATTGTTCAGGTGTATGTGCAGCTACTATATCTGCTGCAGAGGCTGAGGAAAGAAGTGAAGAAGAAGAAGGAGAGTTAATAAGGGTCTCATGTTGTCTTTGCAAGGAAGAAGAGACAGTGCCTCTCTGAGAGCTGTAAAGAAAATCTTCTTCTATTGTTTCTCCAGTCTGCTCAGATGTTGTTTTCATTGTTAATGAAGGGAAGAAAGGAAGAGAAGAAGCTGCAAGAAGAGAAGAAGAGCGAAGAACAGACATCTACAAACTGAGCGAGAAAAAGCAGAGACAGACGAAGAAGAAGGAGATAATGAAGATAAACAAATAGACAAATAATAATAACCAACAGAAATACAGACAGAATAACTAGAAAAAGAAGGAGATTAAAAACAACCTAGAGAGAACAGCCACCAGCAGCAAACTGATGTGGAGGGATGAGAAAGCGGTTTCTATGGTGTATTGAACAGTCTATAGCAAAGAAAAAATAGTAAATAAAATAAACAAAACCTAAAGACGATAAAACGGTAAAAAGAAAAGAAAGAAGACCCATCTTAGCCCTCAAAACAGCAACAACAGCAACAGCAGCAGCAGCAGCAGCAGCAGCAGCAGCAGCAGCAAAACCGCTGAGGCAGCAAGCGGTGCGGCTGTTTGTTTGCAATGCAGCAAAATATATCTGTTTATAATAAAATAATGTTTTTTCTTTAATGTTTATTATATTATTGATTTAAAGAATTAAAAAAAGCACATATTTATGCAACAATTGAGGTGTACATACACCTCGATTTTGTATGGGTAGACCAATGGCAGCCACCCCTGACCGCTGCAGTTGCTTCTGCGTTTGTTTTCTCTCTTTTTTTCCTGAATTAAAGTGTTTTTATTGATATAAATGTATTTAGTTGTATTTTATTTGCATTTATTGGTCTTTAAATCCAATTTTACTAAAATTTTACTACAAATTTAATGCAAGTTGCACGCAGGTCACCGGCCGCTCGCAGACGGGGCTCCTGAATTCAACGGAGAGAAAACGAAAAAAGAAGAAAACAAAGAAAATAATTAAAAATATAAATATTTACAAGGATTTATTTCACAAAATAAAAAAAATAAATATTAAATAAATAGAAGGAGATGGTAAGAACTAAAAAAGGATAAAGAATTATATACATAGTTAGGCTGATGTTCTATGTATACATAGAGATGATATCTCTGCAGCAAATATAAACAAAATATTTACTGCTGGGCTGTCACCTGTACATACACTCCAGCGTTATATACACTTCAGCTTTATATACACCTCAGCTTTATACACATCTCAGCTGTTGAAGAAGATCTTCTCACCCGAAAGAACTGCTGCTGCGAATTGGAAATATAATTTTAAATACTTAAGCAATCATGTTGTTGCTGCTGCTGCTGCTGCAGCTGTGCATACACCTCAAGCCTCCAAGAAATTCAATGTATATAGACAAACAGAATTTGCTGTCCTGGCTGAGGTGTACATACACCTGAAATGGGGGTGTCTGAACATGAACGGCAATATAACGTTTAGGGTTTAGGGTTTAGGGTTTAGGGTTTAGAGCCTCTAAGAGATTGAGGAAGAAGAAGCGGGTGAGAAGGAGAGAAATGAGAAAAACAAAATACGAAAAGGGCTGTTGCTGCGTGTACACCTGCAGGAGACAGACAAAGAAAAGACAGAGGCAGAGACAGAGACAGAGAGACAGAGACAGTGAGAGACAGAGACACAGACACAGACACAGACAGAGACAGAGAGACAGAAACAGAAACAGAGGCAGAGGCGGAACAAGGAGACAGAGAGCTGCACAACGAAATACAAATAAATAAAGACAAATATAAAACAGATAAAAAGAAAAATAAGGAGAGAGACAGAGACAGAGACAGAGGTAGAGACAGAGACAGAGACAGATTCTTTCTCTCATCTTCGCTGCCCTTCACTCGTGAAGAAAACACACAACATATCATATTTATTTTATTATTTATAATATGCATCACATATATATATTATTATATTTCAGCAGCAGCAACAGGAACAGCAGCAACAGAGGCAGCTCCAGCGGCAGCAGCAACAGCAACAACAGCATTTGCAGCTGTAGCAACAGCAACAGCAGCAACAGCAGCAGCAGCAACAGCAACAGCAACAGCAACAGCAACAGCAACAACAACATAAATGTGCAGTCGAGCGCAGAGCTGGGGCCTCAATTTATAACTGCAGCACTTTCTATCATTACTTTTATTTTTTACGCTTTTTCTTTGTTTTTCAAGGAACAGCAAATAATATATATATATATATATAATAGTTTATTAATATATATTGTATATTTCATTTATATAAAATATATTTTATTTATGTTGTTTTTGTATTATTGTTTTGTATTTTGTTTGTATGTAATTTATTTATTTATTTATATCTTTTATACTTCATTCGCATTCAATAATATAAGTATTATATACGCATAAATACATATGCATATAGGTGTAGATATAGATATATATATATCTAGATATTTTATGTATATAATCTGTCTAATATATATATATATACATATATTTATATATATATACGCGTATTTACATATAGTGTATATGCGATACTGATATCGCATATCATGATATTCTTAATATTTTATTTGTATGCAGTATATTTTCTTTATGCATTTCATTTTATTAATATATTTTGTAAGGCGATGATTTTAACTAACTGCTGCAACTGGCGCAGACTTTCTTCGGTTTAGATTAAAAAAGAAGGAAAGTATTAACAAACTAAATGCATCTGTATATAATATACATATATATTTATGTATAGGTCTGTATATATATATATATATATACAGATATATATATATACATATATATATATGTACATACATATTTATGGTGTTATAGACAAATGAATATTAGCACATCCCAAATACATACTTGCATATAAATAGAAGTGAATATATATAAATATATAAATATAAATATATTTATATATGAATATAAAGCACAGGTATATAATCATATATATGTTGCATATGTATATACTTACAAAGATATATATATAATAAGTAATATTCATTTAAAAAGTAAAAAAAGAATAAATAAAAATTAAACGAAGACATAAAAAGCAAAAAAATTAAGCGGGCGTGGTCTAGTGGCTATGACGTTCGCCTCACACGCGAAAGATCCCGGGTTCGATCCCCGGCGCCCGTATTAACAAAACATGTTAATTTCTTGCACTTTTTTGATGAATATTGCTGAATTAATTATTATAATAGTATTTCTTTTTAAAAATAATGTATTTATTCGTTTATTTCGTCGAAAATGCATGTGTTTTCATCTACAAAGCCTTAGATTGCTTATTAAGGGCTTCCAGCTGCATATATATGTAAACAATAAAATAAATATCGATTTGCATGCAGCCCCATTATTTGTTTTTTTGCATGCATATCGATGTTTTGTTTGTTGGTGTGTTATGAATTTATACATTGATTTATTTTAAATAATTATTATCTTTTATTTCTTTTTAGGCTCTGGCTGCCTCTCCTTGCTGCTGCTCCTGAGGGGCTTCTTCTCTTAGTCTGCGGTTGCTGCTGCTCGTGTGTTTGTTTATTAAACATCATTAATAGGAGAAATTCTATTTAATACATTTCTTCTAAGTATTTTTTGTTTCTTTAAGTCGTGTTGAAAAGAATGGCGACAGTAGGAACGTGAATACAAAGAGCAACTGCAGCAGCAGCAGCACGGAGCAGCAGCACGGAGCAGCAGCACGGAGCAGCAGCGCCTGCTGCAGCAGCACCTACAGCAGCAGCAGCAGCAGCTCTTTGCTGGCTTTGCAGACGTCGCATCTCCGCCCTTAGGGAGCTCACATTTCTTTCTCAGCTCTCTGAGGACTTGTGACTACCAACAGCTGCAGCAGCAGCAGCAGCAGTAGGAGTAGTACTAGCAGCAGCAGCAACAGCAGCAAAATGAAAGCAAGAAAGAAGAACGACAGGTTTAGGGCGCCGCCCTTGAATAACAAACGAGCGAAAGCTGCTGGCAGCATCAAACAGAGACACCCCTTGGGCAGAAACGGAATCAGGCTGCAGCAGCGGCTGCAGCAGCAGCAGCAGCAACAGCAGCAGGAGCAGCAGCAGCAGCAGCAGCAGCAGAAGCAACAGAAGCAGGAGCAGCAGCATCAACAGCATCAGCACAAAGATCGGGTGAAGCAAAGAGAAATAAAAAGACTCACAACAGATACAGACAGCCATTCTGTTGCAACGGAGCAGCAGCAGCAGAAGCAGCAGCAGAAGCAGCAGCACAAGCAGCATCAGCAAGAACCGCACAAAGTCAAGGCAAAGAAGCGGAAACACAATCACGAGCACCAACAACAGCAGCAGGAGCAGAAGCATCACCCGGACGGCGAGCAGCAGCAGCAGCAGCAGCAGAAGCAGCAGAAGCATCAGCAGCAGCAGCAGCAGCAGCTTTCTCGTTGTGTGTTTGTGCGTAACTTACCTTTTGATGTAAATGAAGAAGAGCTTTCTGCTGCTCTGCAGCAATTCGGTGGGCTGGAAAAAATATATTTAATTAAAAACGACAGAGGAGAGTGCAAAGGAGCTGCCTTTGCTTACTTTGCTGATGCTGTGAGACACTGTCCTGCTGCTGCTGCTGCTGCTGCTGCTGCTGCTGCCGATGATGCTGCTGCTGTTGCTGTTGTTGTTGAGGCGCCTGCTGTTGCTGAAGGCGCTGCTGTATTTGCTGTGGGTGGTGTTGCTGCTTTTGCTGCTGCTGCTACTCTTTTTGCTGCTGTTGCTGCTGTCGTCCTGCTGCTGCGACTAAGGGCGATGCTTCCTTTATTGCTGCTGCTGTTGCTTCTGTTCTTGCTGTTGCTGCTCTTGCTGCTGTGCGGAGTGCATGCAGTGTTTGTTTGAGTGTATAATAACTAGCGGTTTGCTGCTGTTTGCTGTCTGTCTCCTTTAAGCCTCTTCTTTCTTTGTTGTCTTCTACTTTGTTTTTTTTAGATTGCAGCACAAAGAGCTGTAGCAGCATCAGCAGCATTTATGCAGCAGAAGGAGTCGCTATCAACTCGGCAGCAAAAGAGGGTATCGCGTTTGTTAGCAGCGCAGCACCAGCAGCACCAGCAGCAGCTGCTGCTGCACGACGACCTGCAGCAGCAGCAGCAGCAGCAGTCAGCTGCTGCATGCGGAGCTTCTCTTGTTTTAAAGGGAAGACAGTTTCAGGTTCTACCGGCTCTCAGCAAAGAAAAAGCAAAAGATTTGCTGCAGTCAAAACAACAAGAAAGGTATGCATGCATGCATACATGCATGCATGCATGCATGCATGCATGCAGCTTAAGAGCATCCAATGTTTTTTCTTTGTTTGCTGTCTTTAATATTTTTATTTTCTGTCTCCTACTTTGCTCTTCTTCTTCGTTATCGCCTTTCCTTGGGGTGTCTGTGCAAATCGAGTTGGCTGCGGTTTCTTGCTGCTACTGCTGTTGCTGCAGCTGTTGCTACTCCTGCTGCTGCTCATGTTGCTGCAGCTGTTGCTGCTGCTGCTGGTACTGTAGACTCGAGTTCTGCTGCTGCTGCTGCTGCTTCTGCTGCTGCTGCTGTAGACTCGCGTTCTGCTGCTGCTGCTGCTGCTGCTGCTGCTGCTATAGACTCGAGTTCTGCTGCTGCTGTTTGTGTTCAGGGCTGCTGAGGGTTTGCGCAAGCGCAGTTTGCAGCTGGCGTTCTGCGGCCTGCCTTCAAAACCTTTTAAGGGTTTGTCCCCAGGAGAAGAAGCCCTGGTGTCTGCTGCTTATGAAGAGACGAAAGAAAAACTTAAAAACCCTAATGTATTCGTCAATAAAAAACGTAAAACGCAACAACGCCCTTCCATCGACGGTCTAGGGTTTAGGGTTTAGGGTTTAGGGTTAACGGTTATAAGGGCTTAGAGTTTAGGGTTTT